TTGCGGCTCCCGATCAGGAACAGGGGAGCCCGCCGCTTGCGGCTCCCGATCAGGAACAGGGGAGCCCGCCGCTTGCGGCTCCCGATCAGGAACAGGGGAGCCCGCCGATTGGGGCTCCCAATCAGGAACATGCGAACCCACTGACCGTGGATCCGTCTCAGGAACATGCGAACCCACCGACCGTGGATCCGTCTCAGGAACATGCGAACCCACCGACCGTGGATCCGTCTCAGGAACATGCGAACCCACCGACCGTGGATCCGTCTCAGGAACATGCGAACCCACCGACCGTGGATCCGCCTCAGGAACATGCGAACCCACCGACTGTGGATCCGCCTCAGGAACATGCGAACCCACTGACTGTGGATCCGCCTCAGGAACTGGGGAGGCCATTGACTGTGGTTCCTCCACAGGGACAGGAGAAAACACCCATGGAGGCTCATGTTCAGTCTCTGAGGTGGCTTGCGGCGTCTGTAGAGAGCTCTTGATGATTAGTGGTCCCTGTAGAGAGGCTCTAGGAGGCCTATCTCCATCAACTCCAAATTCTGAAGTCCTTCTAATCTTTAGCTCAGGGGTCTCTGGACGGCACAGGGCAGGCTCAGGGGTCTCTGGACGGCACAGGGCAGGCTCAGGGGTCTCTGGACGGCACAGGGCAGGCTCAGGGGTCTCTGGACGGCACAGGGCAGGCTCAGGGGTCTCTGGACGGCACAGGGCAGGCTCAGGGGTCTCTGGACGGCACAGGGCAGGCTCAGGGGTCTCTGGACGGCACAGAGCTGACTCAGGGGTCTCTGGACGGCACAGAGCTGACTCAGGGGTCTCTAGACGGCACAGAGCTGGCTTAGGGCGACGCCTTTTCTTTCGCCGAGAGGTCTTTGGAGCTAGGCTAACTGGTTTATAGGTAGAATCTGACGCAAAATTAACTGGTTGAGAAATGATAATTCCAGAATGGATAACAGAATCAGAGGCTAAAGGTTCAGGCAAGGGGTCAGGTTTTAAATTAACTGGGTCATTAACTGGTTCAGGATCTGGGTCTGGCTGGCGTGTAACAGAAAGCGGTGGCTCGAAAGGGCAGAAATCATCTCTATCTCCATAGAAAAAGTTCCATAGATTAGCTTCATGGATGTGGGGAGCTCAATTAACAGGTGAGGGAACTGGTTCAGTTTTAACGGTGACGGGTGCAGGTGTCTGATCAGGCTGACGGGGAACTCTAACTGTATGATGAGAATTAGATGGGTTAATCTTAAGTCCTTTAACGGATGGAGCTAAATGGAGGTCGAGAACATGAGAACTGAGGCTAAACTGGCGTGGAGAGGAACTGGAACTGGTTTGTGATGCAGTGTTTAATCCTATGGCTAGTTTTATGAGATCCTCGAGGTTATCTGGTTCGACGAAAAAAGAAAGCTCTTTTCTGACGGATTCATTTAAAGCTACGAGGAAAGCTGACTTGAGTGCAGACTCGTTCCACCCGGAAACGGCTGCTCTACTCAGGAACTCGGAAGAAAATTCAGCTAAGGACCTATCACCCTGTTTTGAATTCAGAAGGTAACTAAAAACGGAGAAACTAGAGGACTGAGTCAAAGTTTTCTCTAACTCTCGGATGAATCTTTCATATGTGCAGTTTGTTCTGGTTTTAAGCGGAAATTTGGTCTCCGCCCATTCGAGGGCTTCACCAGACAGAAAAGAAATAATAAAGGCTAACCTATCCTTATCAGAACGAAAATTAGAAGCGTGAAAACTAAAAAATAACCGACACTGAAATAAAAATCCCTTGAGCTTACTTGGGTCGCCAGAAAATCTCTCAGGTAGAGGAGGACCAGGTGACGAAAACGATGGGATGAGTTCAGACCAGAAAGGAGGGTTATCATCTTGACTCGGAGGTGCCGGACGGAATTCCGGAAGTGACGAATCCGGAACCGGAAGTTGAACTGGCGCCATCTTGTGATTCCCACGAAGCTTGTGGGATCTTGAAACGAGTGTTTTCTTAGAGTCAAACGGGGATTTTAACTCACGGAGGGACTGAGTGTGATCAGGAGTAGGAGCGTCCTGTTTCTCAGAGCTACGACGGAGGTGATCTGCTGGGCTTTGTGTTTGGCCGCAGTGTTCTGTCATGATGGGGTCTAAGAGAGTAAAGCCCAAGATGCAGAACACACACGGAGAACGTTGGTAAAAAATAAAAAAGTCCAAAGAGTTTATTGTAACACAAGCACGTAGTAAATATGCAGGAACAGTTCAGTCCGGGGGCTGGTTCACTGGGGTATGTGCGGGGAACGGAGGATGGCTGGTACTCTGAGATCATGAGGGGCTAAGCTTCTAGCTGTGAGCTTAGCAAGGCTAAGTTGGATCTGAGCTTCCAGCTCAACACAGAGAACAACAGGGGATAATCCACACGGAAACCTCTGGGGAAACTCCTCGAAGAAGTCTTCTGGTTTCATCCACGTAGGGATCTGTGGGTTGGCTCACCAGGGCAGTTTAGCAGGTTGGGCTTCCCAAGAGCTTCTGGCTTGAGACTGGTTTCCTGTGACGCAGCTCTCCCAGAGCTGCGGGTCAGAGACAGGGTTCCAGTGAGGGTGCTCTCCCTAAGCTTCACCAGGAGACAGGAGGTAAAGCTCATCCAGAGCTTTCACGAGAAGACAGGAGGTTAAGCTCATCCAGAGCTTTCACGAGGGACAGGATTCCTGTGAGGCAGAGATAAGGAAGATATTAGAATCTGGTCTCGACCTAGGAACAACCAAGACTCAGTTAATAGCAGAAGGTTCAGGAAGCTAACCAACTAAGATCAACACTGCGGCGTGGGATCAAGGTCAGTCAGGAGCTTATAAAGGAGAGGTCTTCTAATGAGAGGATTAGGAACAGGTGTGCAGGAAAGTTCCAGCTCCAGAAGACCCACAGCGCATCCTGCTGGAGACAGAGGGTAATCTCCAGATCCCCACAGTAACTCCAAACCTAAGGGAAAAACAAAGAGAGCAGAAGTGGATCCTCGGCGCCCTCTGGTGGGCAAGCCTGAGGATCCCAACAAGTAGCATGATCACTGACAGCAATAGGATGGATTACAGCATCCGAGACATCAGACAGCAGTGAGCTGCTGATTAAGAAATAGTCCAAACGAGAGTAGGAATGATGGACATTAGAAAAGAAAGTGTATTCCTTACTGTTAGGATGAAGAGATTGTCATGCATCACAAAGACTAAAACCACTCATGCATTGTTTGACTACATTTAATGATGACTCCCTGTTGTATTCAACCTGTCTATTTCTCCATTTAGACCAAAGTTGAGGTCACCCCTAATAATTACAGAACAGTCCCCGTGCTTTGAAAGTGCATGAAAAAGTTTGTGGAAGAATGAGGGGTCGTCAACATTTGCACCATATATGCTGACAATACATAACTTTTGGTTATAAATAGATATTTTAAATATGATGAATCTGCCTTCAGGATCAATAATTTTGTCTAATAAAGTAAAACTGATGTTTTTGTGGATTAAAATAGCTACTCCTCTCTGTCTAGAGTTATAGCAGGCTGCAAACACATCAGGGATCACTTACAGTTGTCGCTGATTTATGGGTTTCTTGCAATAAGACAACTTCTGCATTTAATCTTTTACGCTGGTTAAAAATCTTCAACTGTGTCTCTCTGGTGCCAGCTCCATGCACATTCCATGTCACAAACCTTACATTCACCATAGGTGTGAGTGAGAAGATGAAAAGTACATGCCTCTGAATAAATAGTTATACCTAGACCCAGGTAGCATCAAACCGTGTGCTTGTAATTTTGTGGACCACATGGAGGAAGCAGACTAATAAGATAAAGTAAGAAAGAATTAAGAAAGCGTAATGAGTGAGAAAAGGTGAAAGAAGAACCCCAGTCAATGCTTCCTGTACCCAGCTGTGACTAACAGCCATACCGTGCCAGGTAGCTTTCCAGGCTCGTCAAGGTCTAGTCTTTTAGGTGACAAATCTATGGTTAGTTTGTTCCCTCAGAAATATGGGACAACTGTTCAAGTTTACACCTGACTTTGTTTAATTTACAATTATTGTCTTAGCTGAGTAGATTGGTTTTTGAATTACCTATATGTCACCATTTTACTTACGCATAATCAAGAATAAAATCCCATCTTTTCAAAACTGTGTACTGCCACTGACTGTCTTAATAAAAAATTATGATTACTATAAGCAGGGAGGTTAGCAGATCTGAATGTGGCTCGAGCTAAGCTTAACAGCATAGCTGCGAGGGTGGGTCACTAGCTTTAGTCGCTTAGGGAAAATCCATGGAAGGCGACAGTGGCCTCAGATGTAGGAGTTTGCTCTGCAACCAGAGCATTGTCAGTTCAAGTCTCGGCCTTGTTTTATCCTTAGGAAAGACACTTCACCTGCACTGTTTACTGGTGGTGGACAGAGGGCGGGATGGCACCAGTGTAAGACAGCCTCACTTCTGATAGTGAGCCCCAGAGTAGCGGTGGGTACAATGTAGCTTGCCACCATTAGTGTGTGTGTGAATGGGGGAATGTCTGACTGAAGTGTGAAGTCTGTTGACTCTAAAAAGTGCTTTTTAAGTACAGGCAATTTACCATCCAATACTGTACTCTGTTCTGTAAGGATCATGGATGGAGAAAGACGTTTTTCACTCATGGTCCCAGTTTTGTGTCTGGAAAAAGAAATACGTAAACATCCAGTTTTTGTGGCTGCTGCAGTCATAGGTTGCGGAATCAGACTGTCCTAAACTTTGAATCAAAGTTTGTAATGAGTTTTCAGACATGGCTCAAGGATTTTCCTCGCTTGGTTGAAAAAAAATTATTTTACTTACAGTCTTTGGATTCCTGTTCGGTCCATGTTTATTTTCATCACATGTTATATTATTATCAAAGCCCAACAATTGACATGAGTGGTGAAAAAAACCCTGACAAAGAGTTTGAAGCTCATCATGCATTACATTACATTTATAACTTTTAATGTATGCTCTGCCTTTTCAGCTATTTGACCTGTGTAATTATTTCTTATTCCAGAGCTGCCTCACTGAAATGCTGATGATGGAGAACTGGAAGACTAGTTTGCTCAGACAAGCAGCCAACCTAAAGAGGAGTGGGAGTGTACAGCCAAGCAACTTGCACATCAAAATGCATAACCTTACACAGACGTGGCAACAACTGGAGGTAAAACACATTCAAATCCCCACACAAAATTATTATGAGTATAACTACATTAGTCCTTAGTTAGCCTGTCCTGCATCACTGTCCAAAAGATATTAGCACGGGTTCTTAAAGCTTCTAAGTTTTGATAAACTATGTCTTTTTAACTATACAACCTTTTTTTTACCTTACCGCCAAGTGATTGCATAGGTTTTATCATTTCAAATATAGTTTTACCTCTTTAATTATTAATTTAGGAAATGTTTTAAAATCAAAACATACTAGCTAAACGTAAAGCTTATGTAAACATGAAAAAATACAAAGTAGACATAAATTGTCCTGATTTGAATTCAACTGAAAATGCTAATTAAGAAAAGCCAAAGGGAAATTAAATTTAAAGTATCTGATTGGACTTTCATTAACTAGTTGTTGTAGACATGGATAGCTGTAGGCAGGAAGGATCTTTGGCAGTGGTCTGTCTTGCACTGGATCTATCGCAGTGAAATTATCTCAAGAGGTTATGAGAGTTCCTTGAACAAAGCTAGTCCTATTTATAGAGTTGTGAGCTTTTTAAAGCAATTTCCTCTAATGCTGCTACCCCAGGAGTTGATAGCAGAGGAGATCACACTCACCATAACAGACTTACAGAAGATATACACCATCTTACTGCAAACAATGGAGGACCTAATCTTCCTTAGTAGGAGCAGTCCCTTCTTAGAGTCTCTGCTCTGTCCCTTCTTAGAGATGGTTTCACAGTCTCCAGTCAAGTTTGTTGTCCAGGAGAACAGCAAGGTATCTATACTCCTCCATATCTTTTCCCATGATAATAATATAATTAAACTTGTTCCTGTTTCCGAAATTTAAAATAATTTCCCTTAATTTGTTTATATTCAGGATCAGATGATTCTTCCCACGCTATGTCAGAAATTGGTTCCCCAGCTTCTTGGCTATTTGATTAGACAGTTGGCATTTCAGTCTCATAAACTATGGTCTTTTTATCAGATATTTTTTAATCCAGGCAATTGTTAATTGACTCCGCCTGAGTCTTATAGAGTTTTTGACAATTTAAGTCAAGCTGAATAATGTCAAACTCAATGGAGACTAAGGTGAAGGCATCAGCGTTCTGTGTCTTTACTCTTCAGTAAACACGTGATATGATTAACATGATCAAAAGACATATTGTTTGTTCTGTCCCTAATTATGCCAGACCTGCAAACCTTTTTTTTCCATGTCAATTGGAAAGGTAGAATTTCATCCAGCTGCAGCTCAGCAGTCAGGGCAGCAACCAGGGGTTCTTTGTCTCAGTGGCACACAGCAGGGGTTCATTGTCTCAGTCGTTCATCAAGGCAGTCCTTCTCTCCAGTCTGGCTCTATAAGTTGTGAAACTCAAGAGAAATGTGCTGCAAAAGGTCTTTTTTGCAGCAGTTTGGTTCTGAAAGGTTCTGACTTATCCTTGAGGATTCTGGAGATCTGGGTCTTTCGGTTCCGGCAGGATCTCCATCTTTGTTTTAAAAAAATATAGATATAAAAAATATAATCGCAGATGTCTGGGGGACAGTGATTCGCCTACATATTATGAATGCTGGCATATCATAAAGAATAAATTATGTACAGTTTAGTTTGTGCCTTCAACTCGTTGCCCATAGGAAGACGTTACTTGGATATAACCTAACGGAATATCTTCAGAACAGCTCCAAATGACACAAAACTCATATGGGTGAATAGAACTTGATGTAATAACGTAAAATCAAGGGCCCAATGTAAAAAAAAACGGCGTTACCCTTTAATTCACATATTTACGTATTTACATATTTGAAATATTCATAGGGAGAGGGTTCTTGGACCGTGTGAAGATGTCCTTTCATATTGATTTATCTTCATGCGTGCTAATATTTTACCTCACAATCCAATACAAATGTCCACGACCTCATCCGTCCTCACATTTGCAGCACTGACTTCATTAACAGGTGTATATATAAGTAATTCAAATCGGTGAGAGCACATTGTTAAGTAGTAACCGGATAAAAAAAAGAACAACTGCACAGTCAGACAGCCACTTATTTACAGTGTAATGAAAGACAGTGTTGTGCAAGATATGTTATTTATTTCCCACTGGAATTTATGAACTAAGCCCAACTCCTGTAAACCAACGTTGCATCAATATTCCTAACCTGAGTCCGCATATCCATCTGGAAACATTCCGTAGAAGTAATTTTGGGAAGGGGTGAAAATACTGGTTAGCTGATTGGCCTATGTTGGTGATAGACGGGCCAAATAAACCAATCAGATCAACGAAGCATATGACGTACTAACAGAGCGACGACGAAGAGGAGCCAATTGATAGATCAAACTCTTGCCGAAACCAGTCGGGAGAAGAGCAAAAACATCTTTTCCTCTGAGAAAAGCCTCCAGAGTTTTGCTCTTCTTTCAGTGAAGAAATACTCTGTAATTCCGATAAAACTTGCTCGATAGCCACGCTAACGCTAGTTTCATCGGCTGAAGCTGCCATGTTCTTTAGACTGAACTGTCGCGCTTCTCGTTGTGCCACACCTCAACCCGCCTCAAAGCCAACGCTGATTGGACGTTCGTTTGGTGAACGGCTCCAAATTTTCTTTAACGGAGAGTCTCCAGACTAATTAGCGAGTGAAATCTTGAAAGGTCGCGAGATCAGGATGGTCTCACGAGGCTACAATATTCCCCCTTCCCCAAACTTTAAACCTAGCACAGTAAAGCCCGATAAGTACCATTCTCCTTGCAACCGGCAAACCTAGACTTGTCTGTCCGATTTCCAGATGGAGAAATGCGATTCAGCACTCCAGGGAACATGTATCCACAGATCTACAGTCCAGTAGCGATATGCTTTATACGACCACATCCGACGCTTTGCTGTTGACACTTGTTGATGTATGCAGTTTTGATGCAGTTTCTTGACCGAGGAAACCCATTCCATCAAGCTCTCTGCGCACTGTTCTTCAGCTAATCTGAAGGCCACATGAAGTTTGCTGATGTATAATGTAATGTAATGCTTACACTGTTGTACAGCATTTAGGTCAATAACAGATTCAATTTTTAACCCATTAATAATGTATCAAATTATCTTTTTCTTCTTTTATGTTTCAGAAAATTCTCTCTGAGAATTTAGTGCCTTATTCTTCTGACCAAAAGCAGTCATCAAATACTCTGCTTGTCAGTGGTCGAGATGTTGCTGCTGAAGGTCCCCACTCAGTATTGTCCCCAATGACAAATTCACTCCTGGAGCAGCTGGAGGCTCGTATCAAGGAGCTAAAGACATGGCTTCGAGAGACCGAGCTGCTCATCTTCAGCTCTTGCCTGAAACAGGAAAAAGATGCCTCTGAGCAGCTTCCAAATTTCAAGGTAGGAATTTTAATGTTGACAGCATTTTATTTTATGATACTGGCTTAATTTCAACCCCATATCAAAAGGGTTAAAAATTGGGTGGTGACAGTTTCCAAGCTTAACAGAAGATGGCATCTGTATAAACCAAAAATCAACAGTCAAGCTCTGAGAGAGGTTCCCAGACAGCCGAAGGAAATTGGGATGGGTAGTGATTCAAGTTTCACTAGTCAATTTGATACTGATTTTCAGGAATTATAATGGATTATATTTGATTGGATATGATCTGTAATAAAAAAAAAACTTACCTTTCACCTGTACTGATGAAAAACATGATTAATGATTTATGCACATGTTGATCCTAGTATACTATGTTATTCAACAGAACACTAATGAAGTAATAGTGGTGGACTAACAATGAGAAAGAAATATATACTTGCTTAAAGGCAAACCTCAGACCTTGTGATCGAAAGCATAGATGCTCCCCTTTTGAAAACCTGTCTATATAAGTTGGGAGAAGACGCACTGTAGTTGGCCAGGTCCAGAGATGGCAAAAGTACTCACTTTCCGTACTTGAGTAAAAGTACAGATACTTGTGTTAAAAAATACTCTGGTAAAAGTGGAAGTACTGATTAAACTTCTTTACTCAAGTAAAAGTAACAAAGTACAGGCTTGTAAATTTACTTAAAGTATAAAAGTAAAAGTAGAAACCACTTTTTTCATGCTGTTGCCTACATTTTAAATGGATGTCTGCCAGTAGGACTAGATCTCCGTTGTGTTCATTTTCAATCATTTCGTCGTCCATGCTACTATGCTAACGCCACCGCCACCAAGCTGCAATGATTTGCCGCGAATGAATACCACCGAATCTGTCGATTCATCTTGTAGTGGTGCGTCAAATGCAACGTAGATTCCCATCCAATTAGATTGAATTTGGTATTGATGACGTGAAAAATAATAACGGTAACTCCATTGAAATGATTCAAAACTAAAGTAACGAGCCAATTTTTTAAAATGTAAGGAGTAGAAAGTACAGATATTTGTGTAAAAATGTAAGGAGTAGAAGTAAAAAGTCGCCATAAAAATAAGTAGTAAAGTAAAGTAAAAATATCAGAAAAATCTACTTGAGTACAGTAACGAAGTATTTGTACTTCGTTACTTCCCATCTCTGGCCAGGTCATGTGACCTGGAAGAACATATAGCTTTACGGCCACAGGCTCTTAGTCATGGAGCTGAGGCTTTTGCTCTACAATTATTCCAACTCCTTGAGCATTGGTCATGGCTGAGGAAAGGAAAAAGTATAAACCTTCAAAAGAGTCGATCTTAGGAAGGAGTTTGTTCGTTGGCAATGTTATTATTAGACTGGTAAGTTAAGACTTTGCTCATAGTATACAGATATTTATCTTTGTTATTATTTTCGATGTGTAGTAGAAGCAAAATACGGGCAGTTACAGGTCTAGCTCTCCTAGTGGTGAGTAGTTACAATTTATTATAATTGATTTAAAATATGAAAATCTGTTTCTTTTTTTAAGACAGCTCTAAGACAAATAGAGAAAAAAATAATGCACGCCATCCGTATTTAATGTAGAACAGCCCCTACTGAGTTTTGAATCTGAGATCCTGCTGTTTATCTTTAGATATTTACTATCTGAAACAGGAATATTGGGAATCATGTTAAAATGTAAAACTACTCCCACATGTTGTGCTTTCTAACCTAATCATCACTTTATGATGTATGTAGGTAGGATTTAGACAGCATGCTATCATTTTGAGAATCACAGAACTCAAATTCAATCCAAAGTATATTCAAATACCATTTGTTGATATAATTTTCGAATGTAAGATGGCAAATTCTCTGTTAAATCAGGAGTACCGGTAACTGAACACTACATCAAACATGTTAGTAGTGGTTGTATGTATCAGTGATGGGCAGTAGCGCCGCTACATGTAGCGAAGCTATTAGTTTAACTACATTTTCCAGTAGCTTGACCGTAGCGTCGCTGCTTTATTTTTCAAGTAACTTTCCAGTAGTTTTGTTATTATTTTTTATCAAGTAGCGACGTAGCGTCCACAAACGCTACAAAATCCAGGGCAAAACTAAGTAATGAAAGCAGGTTTTCTATTTTTGAAACAACAATCAGAGTTATTCGTTGGACATTCACGCATGAGCCTCTTTTCTGCCTCTCCTGTCTGTATCTACGAAACATGCTCACGCGCACTGCAGTGGAACTCAAAGAATGACACACACAGACACATGCACACACACAGAGCCACCCACACCGGATGGAAAGGGAGACAGGAGCAGAGCGAGAAGAGCAGCCAGAGATTTTGAAACTTGTTGAATCCTCTGATAAAAAGTACGTGTTCAGATGTCGGTTCTTGCCCATAGAGAGCTCATGTGGCCAGGACTAGCCATTTGTTTTACATAGCCAAACACTCATTAAAACAGTCAACTACAGTCCATTTTTTTTAAATAAAAATGAGAAAAATACATCAGCTTTAACTTTATTTACACCTTTAATTTCCAGATAGTTCAATCTGATGAGTGCCACTAAGATATTCTCATTAGAGAGCAGTAGCCAAACTTAGATATTGTATTTTCATGGCCCAATTTACCAGACAGGTTGGTACAATGTTAAGTAGCTTCTGATGTAGTTAAGCTACTTTTAACACATTAGTGTAACTTAGCTTGCTATAATTCTTTAGGTGGTAGCTTTGGTGTAGTGAAGCTTAATTTATTGTTGAGTAACTGATAGCTTAGCTCACTACACTGGACAAGTGGCTTGCCCAACACTGGTATGTAGAGCACTTCTTTAAGTGGCATCACAAAAATCGTAACACTATGGCGATGAGTAGCCATAAACAACTACGCAAACCCAGGCCTAGGCCTACTCAGTCACGTAGGTCTGGCTGCACCTTCAGACTCCCAGTTTATCTATCATTTGTGTTTGCGCTGTACTCACCGTTCATGGGCGTCGTGGGAGCTGCAAATGATGATGGATTTTATAATTCCTCTTGGCGGATTGTACTATCGAATGCTGGAACTGGGTTGTGTACTGACACGAGCGGATTTGCACCCCTAACTGGATGTGTTGCTGAGCCCCTTTGCCCAACCGAACCTGTCAGCTGGCCCGAAATTGGACATTCTCGGTTCATCTTTAGCAGGCGTGGCAGGGGAGCCGCCAGCAGCGCAACAAGATCAGCGCTTTGGATTACCATTCTTCTGTGTTTGTCAGGTAACATACATCCAAACCCAGGACCACTAGTGACTGAACTGTCGAGTCCCGATGTTTTGAAAAACAGCAGTGGCTTGCGTTTCATCCATGTCAATGTGCGCAGCCTTATAAATAAAATCGACGCTATTCGCATATGGGTTAAAATGATGGACAGTGATATACTCGTATTATCTGAGACCTGGCTCAAGCCTGCGATTGCGAACAATGTGGTTTACATCGAAGGGTACAATATCTATAGGACGGACCGTGGGAAAAAAGGAGGAGGGGTGGCCATATATGTAAAGGCGTCCTTGGACTGCTGCGTCGTCGAGGCAATTAGTAAACCAAAGTTTTTCGAACTCTGTGCCATTAAACTCAATCTCCCCAATGGCGCTTCCTTGACAGTAGTAGGTTGCTACAGGCCACCATCGGCAGTGGCTGGAGCATCTGTGCTGCTGTCTGACTTCCTGGGAAAGCTGTCAAGCGAGTACATCGTCTTGGGGGATTTAAACTAGGACTATCTCTCGTCGTCCTCTGCATTAAGAGACTTGTGTGATGCACTGCAGTTGACTCAGCTGATCAAGTCACCTACACGCCTTAATATTAAATGTATGGACAAATCTACGCTGCTTGACGTTATCCTGACCAATGCTCCACACAAATTTTCTGCGGCTGGTGTTTTTTGTAATGACGTCAGTGATCACTGCATGGTTGCGTGCGTCAGGGACTGTAAAATGGTTAAGACCAAGTCACGGTTTGTTTTTAAACGACATCTTAAGCGTTTTAATGAGCAGGCATTCTTCATGATATTTTCCACAGTGACTTAAATGCAGTTTGTTTTATGGATGATGTTGAAATGGCCTGGGATTATTTTAAGAAAACTTTTTTAGCCATCATTGATAAACACGCCCCTTTTAGAAGATTTAGAGTGAGGGGCAGGGATAACCCCTGGTTTAATGATTGTATTGCTACTGCAATAAGAGAACGTAATGAGGCATGGGTAAAAGCAAAAAAATATAATAGTGATGCAAGCTGGTTGAACTACAGGGTATTAAGAAATAAATGCACAAGACTAATAAAAAGTACAAAAAATGAGCATTACCTTAATTTAATAAAAGAAAATCTCAATGACCCTAAGAAATTTTGGAAAGCAATAAAATCATCATCAGGCGATGTGCCACCTCCCACTATCCCTGAATATATTGTAACTAGTCAGGGAGAAATTAAGGATAAACAACATATGGTAGACACTTTTAACATGCACTTCATCAATGCTGGAATTGCTACTCAGTCAACTCTTCCAGCAAATGTTAGCAGAGGTAGGCCTACAATTACTGTTCCAGATCCAAATATGAGTCAAAATAGTTTTAATTTCAGCTGTATTTCTGCTTATGAAGTTCAGAAGGCTTTGCAAGGACTAGACTGTGAAAAGTCTGCTGGGCCTGACCAGATTGAACCGTATTTTCTTAGAACTGCTGCTAACTTGATTGCTGAGCCTATTGCCTCAATTTTTAATCTTAGTTTATGTAGTGGTACCATACCTACATCTTGGAAGTCTGCTTTTGTCCTCCCACTTTTGAAAAGTGGAGACCCTTCCTTATTGGACAATTATCGCCCAATCTCTAGATTGTCTGTGCTGGCCAAACTGTTTGAATCTCTTATAAACGAGCAACTCAAACTTGTTTTAACTGAGAACTCAATTTTAAACCCATTGCAGTCTGGCTTTCGACAAGGTCATAGTACAGTCACAGCTGTTACCACAGTCACAAATGACATTTTGAATGCTTTAGATAATAAGAAGTCTTG